ATTCTGAACAATGCTGCCATGAACATGCATACACAAGTTTTTTTGTTTGTTTTTTGGGGGGAGGGTTTTGGTACCAGGAATTGAACTCAGGACCTTGGGCTTGCAAGGCAGGCGGCAGCAACACTGAGCTAAATCCCTGGCTGCACAAGTTTTTGTGTGAATGTTTTTTTCCCTTAGTTGTGTTACAGTGAAGTGCAACAGCTCAGTGTTACAGCACTATGTTACAGCCAAGTGTTACAGCTATCCAAAGGTCTCCAGAGGCAAAAAAACTGAGGGCGGCACTCAGAGAGATGGAGGAAACCAAGTTTTTTACACCAGGGCCCAGACAACTTTGTACTCTGAAGTCTGAGCCCTAATCAGAATTGGACGCAAACTTATATAGAGATCTACGGGGCAGGAGAGTGGGCCAATATACTGGGTGAGCATGCTAACGGAAGCAGAAGGGTGAAGTTAACAATACATTCTTGAAACATTAGGTAGGAACATCATGCAGCTCAAAAGTTACATTGCTTGAACAGAATATCTTAATACATTGGGTAGGAACATTGTGCAGCTCAGTTACGTTGCTTGAACAGAAACTCTTATGGCAAAAACATCCGGGTTAGGGGGCTTGGCAACAGACAAAGGCCTCCCCTGTTGTGCATTATTTCCTTAACAGTTGTATACCCAGGAGTGGAATTGCTGAGTGAGACAGAAACGCCATGCCATGTTCACCTATTTGAGAAACTGCCAAGGTATTTTTCAAAGGGGGTTGTACCATCTTCCATTTCTACCAGCAGTGTGTAAGAGTTCTGATGTCTCCCTAGCCTTACTAACATTTGCTATTTCCTGTCTTTTTTGTTATAGCCATCCATCCGAATGGGTGTGAAGTGGTGTCCCATTGTGATTCTGTATTATCTCTTACAATTGCATGTCAATCTCAAGACAGAACGTTAAAAACACATTAATAATATGGGCCATGTGCTTATCTACAACTTGTTTTTTCTTAATTTAGAATATTTGGGTGACCTCTACCCATCAGTGTATGCCATAGTTTGGATATTTTTGTTGTTTTTTTCTTTGTTTGTTTTTTGTTTTTGGTACCGGGGATCGAACTCGGGACCTTGCACTTGTGAGGCAGGCGGCAGAGCCACTGAGCTAAATCCTGGGCCCCTGTTGTTGTTTTTTGAGTCAGGGTCTTGCTATGTAGTTCAGGCTGGACTTGAACTCACTATGTGGCCCAGACTGGCCTCATGCTTGCAGCAAACCTCCTGCCTCAGCCTCCCAGGTGCTGAGAGTACAGGCGTGTGCCACCATGCCCTGCTTAGTTTGGATCTTATGTGCTCTGCAAAGGTCCGTGTTGTAAAGATACGGTCCCTACTTCCCATGGGAGATGGTAGACCCTTTAAGAGGCGGGGGCTCTTCGGAAGTCTTTTGATTACCTAGGAGCTGCCCTTGAGAGACAGTAAGACCCTGGCACCTTCCTCTCTCTTTTACTCTCTGGCCCTAAGGTGAGTAATTTTGCTCTGGCACATGCTCCCTCCAGGGCAAGCTTGCTCTGCCCCAGAGCTGAAAGCAATGGGTCTGTCCGGTCCTAGCTTGAAAGTTTTAAAACTTTGAGTCAAGATAAAACCTTTCTCTTTATAAGCTATTAATATCAGGGATTTGTTATAGTGGCATAAAGCCAGTCAACATAGCATGTGTAGATCTACATTATTCCTTTTAATGACAGCATAATGCTTCACTGTATGGATATATTATAGTGTGCTTAAACATTTCCCTACTGGTAGATATTTGGGTTTCTGGTGTTTCCTTCTTCTGTACAATTGTCTTAACTCATGGACCTTTTAATTCAGTATTTAATTCACAAGTTTTCTTTTCTGTGAGGACTTTTCTATTCTTCCTTCTTCATTCCTCTCCTCAGCCCCTCCTCTGAACTTCCTTCCCAGCTTCGCTGTGCATGTGGATGGTCCTCCGTGTGTGATGAGGTCACATTGTGCAAAAGTTTGGTTCAGTTCTGATATTTCTTTGTTAATTTTTTTGTCTAGTTGACCTATTTGTAACAGTGCTGTATCGAGGTCCCCTATTACAATTATATTAGTGCTTATTTGATTTTTCATGTTTGTTAATGTTTGTTTTATATCTTTGGATGCACTGGTTTTTGGTGCATATATATTTATGATTGTTATATCTTCCTCTTGGATTGTTCCTTTTACAAGGATATAGTGACCTTCTTTGCCTCTCTTATTCAGACTTGGCTTGAAATCCACTTTGTCTGCAAATAGAATAGCTACCCCTGCTTTTTTCTGGGTTCCTATCTCATGGAGTATTGTTTTTCATCATTTGACTTTCAGTCTATGAATTTCATTTTGAATTAAATGTGTTTCTTGAATGCAGTATATTGTTGGATCTTGCTTCTTGATCCATTCTGCCAGTCTGTTTCTTTTGATTGGTAAATTGAGACCATTTATATGATGGTTATAACTGATATATATTGACTTATCCTTGTCATGTTATCTTCCTGTTGTTGGTTCCTTTTTTTTTTGGTACTGGGGATCGAACTTGTGACCTTGCACTTGTGAGGCAGGCGCTGGAACCACTGAGCTAAATCCCCAGCCCTGTTGGTTCCTTTTTATCCCCCCTCTGTTTAATTGCTTTCCTTGCCTGGTGGATTCATTCTGCTGGAGTTCATGGAGCTGTGGTCATCGTTATCTCTTTCTGTAATGTATTTTAGAACATTTTGGAGTGTTGATTTGGTGGTCATGAATTTCTTCAGATGTGCTCTGTCATGGAAACATCTTATTTCTCCATCAGTTTTGAAAAATAGTTTTGTGGGGTTCATCAATCTGGGTTGGAGATTATTTTCTTTTAGGGCTTGAATACTTCAAGCTTTCCTTGACTTGAGGGTTTGTGTTGAGAAGTCTGCTGTGATTCTAATGGGCTTTCCTTTATATGTGATTTGTTTCTTTTCTCTAAGAGCTTTTAATATTCTTTTCTTGTGTTGGATTTCTGGTATCTTGACTATTATATGCCTTGGTGTAGATTTTTTTTTTTGGTACCGGGGATCAAACTTGAGTCCTTGTGTTTGCACAGCAGGTGGTAAAACCACTGAGCTAAATCCCCAGCCCTGTGTAGATTTTTTTTTAATCATAGCTAATCCTATATGCCTCACTTATCTGTATGTCAAATTGCTTTTCCATGTTTGGGAATTTTTCTGCCGTTACTTCTGTGAACGCATTTTTTTCCTGTCATTTGTACTATCTCCTGCTTTTTCATCTACTCTAATCAATCTTATGTATTCTTCTTTATATTATCTAGCAGTTACTGGATTGATTTCTTGTGGTCCCTTGCTACTTTTTAAAAAATTAAAAAAAATTTTTTTGGTAACAGGGATCGAACTCAGGTCCTTGTGCTTGCACAGCAGGCGGTGAAACCACTGAGCTAAATCCCCAGCCCTCCCTTGCTACTTTTAAGAAATCTTTCTTTTCATGATTGCTAACCACAATCCTGTCTTCTATATCTGATATTCTGTTTTCACATTGGCTCATTCTGCTGCTTATACTTTCAATGGAAATTTTAATCTCCTGGATATCTGTTTGAATTGGTTTCATGGATTCTATTTCTTTCCTATGCTGGGCATTCATGGTTTCCATTGTTTTCCTAAGCTCTTCTATTTTTTTGTTTATATCTGCTCTAGAGTCACTAACCATGTCTTCAATTATGGTCACCATCTCTGTAGTATTCTGAGAGATTAATTTTGATTTGATTTTTTTCTAAAGCCTCATTCATCTGCTTTGTTATTTCTGCTGCTACCACTTCAGAGAGTTCAAGTGAGTGGGTTTAAAAGTTGTTCCACCTCATTTCCCCCCTGGGTTTGCCTTTGGTAAGCTGGAAGTTTGGGGTTGTATCATGCTTAAGTGTCTTCTCATTTTTTGTTTGTTTGTTTTAGTGTAATTCCTGGTTTGATATTTTATAAATTGTATATGGCAAGTAGGTTTGTTGCTAGTATTTAGAACCCTTAGGAAATGACTATTTCTCAGAGATGTCTTCCACGTACAGCTGGATTTTGGGTTTTGAGTCTGTTGCAAGATCCTACCTCTTCAATTTATTGGGGATTAGAAGTGACTGCCTATTTGACCTAGCCCCTGGGTTCTTTGGCACTGGCCTACGGTATTGTTTACAACCCTTAGGCAATCTTAATTTTGGCATACCAGGAAGAACAACTGATTAGAACAATTATGTCACCTTGGCTAAAGTACTACAATCAGCAATAATGATAGCATCAAACATAGCCTAGAAAATGACAAACTGTGGTAACTATTAATTTGCCACCTTTACCTGTATGAACTATATTTGTGGTTATATAACAAAATCTAGAACAAACCAGAAAACTGTATACAGTAAAATTGCCATACTGAGGGTTATATACAGTAACTATGCCCTCAGTATGGCAATTTTACCCTGAGAGTAGAAAATTTTAAAAGGTTTTGGGGGGGATAGAGAAATAGAAGACGAAGAGATAGGAAACAAGGCTGGAGGACAAAGGAAGTTATACCAACTTTGGGAAACTGGTGAAGAAGAAAGGGAAAGAGAGAAAGAAATAAAAACAGCAGAACAGAACAAGAACAAAAAAAATCTAGAAAGAATGTTCACACTTATATAAAGACAAGAGCAAATAATCAAGAAAAACAAAACAGAACAAAAACAAGAAAAGGAAAATAAGAAAAAAAATGTCCACTTCAAGGCCTGTCTCTGCTGTCACCAGTAGACAAATTGGACAGACAGAGCCCAGATCCATGTTGATTACTCCCTAAAAGCCAGCTGTAGATTTATGGCAGAGTAGTGGATAATCCCAGCAAGCCTGTACCTTTAGTTCTGAAGCTCAGGCTGGTTTTCGGCTGTGAGGCTGGAACTGGATTTGTTGAGCCTATAATAGTCTGTGTACTTCCTGCCAGCTTAAACTTGGTTCCCTGGCAGTTTGAACTCAGCTCCCTGAGCTCCTGCCAACTTGCTCTCCACAGCCTCACCATGACGTGAGGAGCCTCTACATGAAGCTGGTCTGAAGCTTCTCTGAGTTCTGAGCTCAGTTCGCCCCTCTCCAAGATGGCTGTGGTCCAATCAGCCTCTCCTGAGGTATGTCTGAATCCAAATAACTCACCAGCCACTGCAGTCTGGTGTGTCCACTGCTCTGTTTCACTGATGTTTCTCTGTGGCAGCCTTTGGGGTCACCAGTAGTCACCATGGATCTGCATGTTCAAGCCTCCCCTCCCACGTAGTTAGTCAGGGTTCAGGGAGAAAGTGCTGCTTGCTACCTCTTTCTTCTTTGTTGAAGTCTCCTCGATCTTCCTATTGGCTTCAGTTGTCACTTCAGATCCTTGATGGGCCCTGGGGACCCACCTCCTTCCTTTTCTTCAACAGAGGTCACATTGTGTTTCCTACACACACCAGCCTCTCCTATAGAGCCAAGACATCTGGTTCTGCATCCTCCAGCACATAGCATCCCTGTGGGAGAGCTAGTTAAATGTGTGCAGAGAAAGCACCCAATGGCTACCCATCCAGGGACACAAGTGTCTAGGAAGGCAAGAAGCTTCACCTACAGGGAGTGCAGGGAGGTAACCTCCTAAAGGCTACATTGTATTTTTTTTTTTTTTTTTTTGTACCAGGGATCGAACTCGGGTTCTTGCGCTTGCGCAGCAGGCGGCGAAACCACTGAGCTAAATCCCCAGCCCGAGGCTACATTGTAGTAGAATGGAAAGTGCTTTGTGGCCAGCAGGAAGAGAGAAAGTTGGAAAGGAAGAGAGAAGAAAAGTCGCTTGGAGGTACAGCCTGGGAGACTAAAGCTGGAAGAGGCTCTTCTTTCACTGCTACCCAGGGTGAAGGAGGATGCTAAGTAAAAAGGCAAACAAGGGAACAGAGAAATCCATCTGTCTCTGCTGGGCCCCTTGGTAAATTCAGCTCCTAAGTGCTAATTTCGGAAGCCTTTTTCTTACTGAAAAGATGTTTAGGACAGCTTCCTCGAACACTTTGCCCTTCCTTTCTCCTGAGGTAGAATGAGAATCCCTCCGGGTGAAGGTTAGAGAATAGCTTCACTGTGTCCATGGGAACGTCCTCCTCTGGAAATAATGCCTCTTCCCATTTATGTGAGTGTTTTCAGTGTGTGTCTCTTTGGAAAAATTCAAGTACTATCCAGGTAAGTATAGTTTTTCTAATTATCAACTTATACTTGGTGAATTTTTTTCCGTAAGAGAGGTAAAAATGAATAAATTATAGAGCTCAAAGCCAGAGAAAGCTTCCCAAAACAGAGCTCTGATTTACCTAAGAAAAAGTTTGATGAGGGGCTGGGGATTTAGCTCAGTAGTTCTTTTTTTTTTGGTACCAGAGATTGAACTCGGCTCCTTGCTCTTGCAAGGCAGGCAGCGGAACCACTGAGCTAAATCCCTGGCCCTTAGCTCAGTAGTTCTGCAGCCTGCCTTGCAAGTGCAAGGTCCCAGGTTCAATAATTGGTACAAAAAGAAAAAAAAGAAAAGAAAAAGTTTGGTGAATATCACTGGGGTTTTTTCGATATTGTGTACATTAGTGATACAGAATGATGAGATTTGCCTTGGTACATTGATATATGTATATAACCTATTTTGATACTTTCATCCCCATTCCTCCCACCCAATTCCCTTCCTCACCTCCAAAAACTCTGCATTTTATTTTATTTTTTTGGTACCGGGGATTGAACTCAGGACCTTACACTTGCGAGGCAGGCGGCGGAACCACTGAGCTAAATCCCTGGCCTAACTCTGCATTTTATCATTAAGTTTTTTTGTTTATATATATATTTTATAGTATATGTTTTACGATGACTATGTCTTACTTTTGTAATAAGAAACAAAGCTATCCATTCATTTAAATCATAAGAATTGCTGATTCAGGTAGAGGTTATAAGGAAAAAAAGGCAGAGTGCTGAGACAACTTTACTCAGATTGGGGAGGCTAGTAGGATAAGAGATTGAGTGAATTTGTTTTCTGTGCTGTATAACAAAGTACTATAAATTTTGTGGTTTAAAACAGCACCTAGGGGCAGGGATTTAGCTCAATGGTGCCACTGCCTGCTTCGAAAGCCCAAGGTCCTGAGCTCGATCCCTGGTACCAAAAAAAAAGATGCATTAGGGGCTGAGGATTTAGCTCAGTGGTGCTGCTACCTGTTTCACAAGTGCAAGGTCCCAAGTTTGATCCCTGATACAAAGAGAAAACCAAACCAAACCACACCCATTTGTTAGCTTGCACACCGTGGGTTAGGAGTCCGTTCATGGTGCACACTTCACCCCATGTAAGGCTGCATCACGGGGCTGGCTAGGGCTTGGTTCCATCTGGAGGTCTGACTAGCACTGAATCTGTTTCCAGGCCCACTCAGGTTGTTGGCAGAATTCAGTTCCTTGCTGCTGTAAGACCAAGGGTCTGGCTTTGCTGATTGTTGCCTGGACACTGCTTTTAGTTCTAGAGACTGCTCATACTTTCTTGCCACATGGACTTTTCCTAGGTCGTTTTCCAAAATGGGAGTGTGATTCTTTGAAGCCAGAGTGGGCGAAAGAAAGCTAGCAAGATGTCTTACAAAACATAATCTAGTCACAGACTTTGCATGTTCTGTCAGAAGCACTCACAGGACCCACCACACAGAAGGGGAGGGGATTACACAAGGATGTGAGTACCAAGGAGTAGAGATCCTGGGACCAACTCATGCTCTGGCCCCTACAAGGAGCTCAAAATTTCCTATGGGAGGGGCTGGGGATGTAGCTCAGTGGCCAGCACCTGCCTTGCAAGCCCAAAGTCGTGAGTTCGATCCCCAGTACTGCAAAAACAAAAAACGAAAAACAAAAAAACTTCCTGTGGGATCTGTATCCACTTGTCAGTCAACAGTCTAGTACATTCCAGTGGCTGTCCTACTGCCAGCATCAGTGATCTTGCATTTGACAGAGCGATGTTCTGGGGAGTTAATGCCCCTTGAGCAGCTTTGTCCAAGGATAGGTGGGAATTGGAGGTTCCCTAGATGTCTTGCTCCTTGAGCAGGAAAGCTCAGGTTTGTTCTGCACCGTCCCACAGAGGCCCCAGCAGGACTGAGACAGGTTGCAGTTAAGGTGTGTAGCAGAAGCTTGCTTAATGACTGTTACGGCTTGTGTTTAGCATGGTGCAGTGCTTGGCCTGAGAGCACTAGAATTCAGGGCGTGAGTGCTACTTTCCTTAAGTAGTCTGAATAGGAGAAAAGGGCAGGAAGATTCTGTTAAGGTCCCTTGTTGCTTTTGCTGTCTTCCACCATGAACTGCTGCCCCTCTGTCACCCTGCCTTGGAGCCAGCCTATTATGGACTGAAACCTCTATGAACAGAAGCTAAATAAAACTCTTCCCCTTTAACTTTGGGTGTCGGGAAATTTGTCTCAGCAACGAGAAAAAAGTAACTAAGCCAGTGGTGTTCCTTTTCTTGGCTTCCTTCCCTTTCTTGTCTCACTTCCCACCTTCTGGTCTTCCTGGGATCAACTCTTTAAAAGCAACAAGTTGGTTCATGGAGGGAGAAAGTACAGTGGCTGCTAGAGGTTGGCAGAGAAAGGAATGAAGCAGGATAGCTTCAGTTTTACAAGATGGAAAGAATTATGGAGCTAGTTGTTGATGATGGCAGCTCAACATTGTGAATGTATTTACTACCACTGAGTTGTACACTTAAACATAGTTAAGATGGTAAATTATATGTTATTGTATTTTGCCACAATAAAACAATTTGGGAGAAAAAACCAAATTGTACTCAAATCCTGCCTTAAAGTCTGATTGTGGGACAACCTAACGCAAGACAGTAGGAGTCAGTAATTAATTTGGGGTAGCAAAGGAAAAAAGTGCTTACAGCTGAACTTGGGGTGATTTATACCTGAAGGAATAGTCCTTTTATAACTAAAAGGAACCTGGAATCATCAAGAACTAGGAATTAGAGAAAGAGTGTAACATGCCTCAGGTTGAAAAAAGAGAAACAAAAAATCGGGCATGACCTTCATCAAGTTCATCAAATGCTGCTAAGCTGGGGATGCGTCAGCACCCTGATTCCTCAGTGGAGTGTAGCAGCTTTCTGCACCTTGGACTGCTGACCGTGAGCACAGCGATTCGTCTGCGTCACAGCAGAAGGCACGGAAGAGACACAGAGGCCCTGCAGTGATCAGTAGAGGAGGCTTGCCACTTCCTCATCAATGACATCCTGACTTTTCTTAGCTATCTAAAAGATAGTTAAAAATCCATAAAAAAAACAAACCTCGTGATTCTCCTTGTGAAACTTAGGTGTTCAGTATTCCACAGCTAAGATGATATCATCACCACCCTGTGTTTTGGTACCGGGGATCGAACTGGAGACCTGCTTTCGAGGCAGGGGGCGAAACCACTGAGCTAAATCCACGGCCCTCACCACCCATGCTTGCAAGCAGAACACGGAGGTCTCAGCCTGGTTCCTTCCTCTTCCTCGCCTTGTGTGCCACCACCAAGTCCTGTGGTTTTACCTCCTCAGTTTCTTTTGAGTTTATCTATTTCTCTCTGTAGCCATCCCCATAGCTACCCCAGTCCAAGTCTCTGCCATTTGTGGACTTCCAAAATAGTCTCCTAACAATTTTAGATATTCCACTTGACTGGATGCAGGGATGCCCCGCTAGCTGGTAAATCATTATTTCTGAGTGTTCTGTGAGGGTGTCTTGAATTACTGAACTAAGGAAGCCCCTTTCTCAATGTGGGCAGGCACGTTCAATCCACTGAGGGCCCAGACAGAACAAAAAGGCAGAGAAAAGGTGAATTCACTTCTCTCCTGGAGTAGGATACCCTTCTCCTGCCCTTGAACATTAGAGCTCTGGCCTTTGGACTCCAGGATTGCGCCCACAGCCATCAAGTTTCTCAGTCTTTGGATTTGATTGAGAGCTGTAGCACTGACTCCTGGTGCTTAGTCCTTCAGATTTGGACTGAATCACACCACTAGATACCCTGGTCTCCAGCTTGTAAGCAGCATATCATCAGACTTCCCTATCTCCACACTCATGAGACTGATTCCCCGCATAACCCCTCTACCCCTCTGATTCTTACTCTGGAGAATCTTGATGAGTACAAGCTGGTGTGGAAGACTCTCCCTGACTCACTGCTTACTTCCATACACCCCACCCTAGAATGCATATATACACTCATAGACCCACATACCCCATCTATTTTTGGAATTTAATCATAGTTTTATGTAATGTAAAATACTTGTAAATATATGTTGTTCTGATACAGTTAAATTTGAAGAACTACAAAGAATAAAACACTAAGCGCTTATGTAGTCATGATCCAGAATTAACACTGTTAACAAATGGTAACTTTCTGCCATATTTAATAATTTCCTTTTCTTTTTTTGGTGGTACTGGGGGTTGAACCCAGGACCTTTGCATTGAGCTACATCTTCAGCCCCTTTATAATATTTTTTGAAACAGAGTCTTTCTAGATCACTAGATTGCCTGGGCTGGGCTGGAATTTGGGATCCTCTGCCTCACCTCCCAGAGTGCTGGAATTATGGGCAGTGCTACCACACCCAGATATGGCAAAGTCCACTTGAAGCACCGGGCATGGTAGCACATACCTATTATCCCAGCACTTGGGAGATAACAGCAAGAGCATTGTCTCCTGGGCTGGGCTACAGACTGACTTCAAGGCTGGCCTGGAATACACAGCAAGACCCTGTTTCAAAAACAAACCAGTCCCACAAATCAGTTGGCTGTGCTGGTCCTGGAGATGCCAGCTGTGCTTGGTACTGTGTCTGGACTACTGACCCAGGTGTTTGGTGAAGAGGCGCTAAGTGTTGCTGAGCACATGGCTAAGGCCTTTTCGGCATGCTTTCTCCCCTGCTTCTCCTGTAGTAGTTAGCAGATATGGCTAAATGAACTTCAGAATAGCTGCTTCCAGTTACAGGATAGGACATTAAAGGGAAAATAATCTCCTTACCAATTGCTAATACCAGCCAATCTGTGTGTTCTAGATTGAGAAGTATACCTTAGCCCCAGAACACCGTAAACTCAGCATATTTTGCCAGGAGTGAAGATACTGGTTTTTAAGAACCAGGGGATCTTATGGCTTTATGTCATTAACACACTTGTCACCTCTAATTAGACCCAATTGGGCCCAATGAGCTCCATCACAGTGAAACTCAGAACTTGCTAATAATACAGTGTGAATGGGCAGCAGCATTTATCTTTAAATCGGTACCTTTTTTTTTTTTTTTGATGGAAAGTGAGGAAGAGGGGAAAACGTGACCTTTGGAATCAAGCAGAGCTGCTTGGTTCCTGTCCCAAAGCTGCCTCTGACCTGTGGGTATTACCTAAACTCTATGGTATGAGAACAAAAATCCTCTTATGAGTAGCAGAGAGAATTCAGAGAGAGCACTGAGTGCTACATCAGAGACATGATTGGCACTTCCTCAGCTGAATTTGGAGACTGTAAAACTTATGACTCTGGGGCCGGGGATTTAGCTCAGTGGTTCTGGCACCTGCCTTGCAAGCGGCGAGGTCCCGAGTTCGATCCCTGGTTCAAAAAATAAAAACAAAACTTATGACTCTGGGTCATGCCTGGAAGAAATGAATACAATGTGAAGAACAGCACCAAGAGACCATACCGGCTGCACAGCCTGCTGCCCTGCAGTCATCCGGACACTGGCGAGCCCAGCCCAGGTGAGCGCCATTGTTCTGATCCTATTAAGCAAGCCACAGTGAGGTTCAGTGTTTGGGAGTGGCCTCCTTTAGTCATCTATTGCATTGCCTTGGTGCAGAAAGGTTCCATCTCAGCTCCGTACAGAGCTGCTCATTCTCTTTTCATTTTCGGAAGATGGTTGAGACTTTGGCCTCTGAGTGACCATGGAGCTCTGAGGCTTCTAATGTAGGTGTTGTCCTCGGCCCTGGGTTCCTACTCACAGCCAAAGACACTGCTGTCAGAGGTGGAGGACATTTGCCTCCCCATAGTAACCAGGCTGGGAAAGCAGAATCTCTCTGTCCACATCTGAAGGGAACAGTTCTGGCCACTTGTCCGCAGACCCTGTCCACAGTCGAGGATTTGGCCTCTCACTGTAGCAACCTTCTCAATGGGCAGAACACCTGGGTTCTGTAATTCTGTCTCTTGCTCCACCTTCACCTATGAGTAATGTTAGGCTGGGTGAACATGACCAAAGGAAGCATACGTTATTGAGGGACTGTGAGCTTGTTGGCCCTATGCCCACAGGCATCTCATGGCCTCCCTGAAGAGGTGTGTTGCAAAGGATGACAACGTTCTTGTTTCAAACAGTATGACACTAAAGATAATGGGGTTGGGGGAGATGCCCAAATGACATCTCTTGATTCTTACCTAGGAAAAGACAAATAAATTTTGGCCGCTGGAGTTCAAGCCGATACTTTCTTTACCTAACCTATTCTTTCAGTCTTTGCAAGCTGGTTTCACAAGGTTTTAAGTAAGTCACCCAATGTGGGTGGCGCATTATCTCCTGGGAACTACTCTCAGATGCTGAAATATCATCCAAGAATGAGCAAGACAGTTTCCCAAAGCCAAGGGCTTCTTTGGGGCCCACAATTATATCATTGTGTGCTACCTAGCACACAAATTTGTGGATTGATTTGTAAACCCCAATAGATGGTTGGTCAGGCATTAAAAATCTGTGGAACTGTAAGGTCTGGCACTTATCCTTTGCTCCTTGATTGTAACCCTGTTGCCCTAGAGCTAAGCCGGCAGGTAAACGTCTAAGTGTTTACCACAGAGTCCCTATCTTGTAGTGTGGCCATTCGAGATTTGGGCTTTGGCGAGATACTAAACACACAGATGTCAATTAGGAAACTAGAATCCAGTCATTACTCAGAGACCAAATCTTTCAACACACTGTCTCAAGCTGTAATTAAAGGCAATGAGCTGTGTTATTGGGAGAACAAAAACAGAGGCAGACAACTATTTTTGGAATTGTTCTTATCTCCAATATAACCTGCTTTACATTTTATCAACTTGTTTGCATGATTTCCAACCTTAGCATTAATCAAAATAAAACGTCATAAAACGACATATTTGTGTAGTGGACATATTTGTGAAGTGGCCCAGGGAAAGCATGGAGAAGAGTTAATGAAAGGAAGACAGGAGAGTTTCGGGTTTTTTTATCCCCTAAAAGAAAGTTAGAAAAGATGAGCGGGGCGTGCTGATGAACGCCTGTAATCCCAGCACTCAGGGAGGCCGAGGCAGGAGGATTGCCACAAGTTCAAGGCCAGCCTGGACTACATAGTGAGTTTAAAGCCAGCCTGAACTACAGTGAGACCCTGTGAAAAAAAAAAAAAGCAGGGCCGGGAATCTAGCTCAGTGGTTCCACTGAAAGGTCCCCAGTTCGATCCTCAGTACCAAAAAAAAAGAAAAAAAAAAAAGTAAAATAATGAAACTCCATAGTGTTGCATCACATTTTAAAAGGTGGTGCAGTTCAATTTTGACCTAAACTTGCTCTTCATATTTTTTGTATCTCAACTCAAATTGTAGTTGTTAGAATATATTTAAGGCCTCCTCAACATTGTCCACCAATTGGCGTGGCCTGCAGGGCAGCGGTGGCGGCTTCTGTTCCTGTGCAGCTCTCTCCTCCTGCTGCCCTTCCCACCAGACCCGGCGTTTGCCCTTCATGGCTCTACTGTGGCTGCCTGGCTCTTGGAGCCAAGAATTCATCCTGTCTTGTTCTTGCTTCTTGGCATGCAGTGCTTCTTCCATGAAAGACATATTGGTCAACTTACCTAAGGGACAGGCCAGAATTAAGGCCTTCAGACAGTAACATGGCAAGATTATGGTGGACCGAATCATGGTGGTATGAGAGACATGAAGGGACTGATCTATGAAACATCAGTTCTTGATCCTGATAAGGGCATCCACTTCCAAGGCCACAGTGTCGCTGAATGCTAGAAACTGCTCCCCAAGGCTAAGGATGGAGAAGAACCCCTGCCTAAAGGTTTATTCTGAGGGACAGGTACCTTGGCTCTCAAAAAAGTGGGCAAAGAGAGCAGCTCTGCCTTCTCATGTGGTCACCATGCTGGACAGCTTTCCTAGCAATCGATAGCCCACGTCTCAGCTAAGTGCAGCTATTACAGCCCTCAACAGTGACAGTAACTTGGCCTGGGCATGGGCAGAGGGTACCAGCTGAACCAAGTACTGGGAGTTGATTATGAAGACTGTATGAGTCTGATTCCAAAGGTGCCTTGTGCTTCAGCAAAGATCTACCAGAATCCTTACCATGATGGCAGCAGTACTGGGGCCACTGTCTCTCAGCTGGGCTGGTCCCACAGTTTCACCAACATGTTAGGCTATGCTCAGTTCACAGAACTCATGTACTCATACCTCACCATCCACAGTGACAATGAGGGTGGCAGTGTCTGTCTCCATACCAGCCACTTGGTGGGCAGTGCCCTTTCAGACCTTTACCTGTCACTGCAGCAGGCATGAATGCGCTGGCAGGGCCTCTGCATGAACTGGCAAATCAAGAAGTGCTTGTCAGGCTAATGCAACTATAAAAGGAAGTTGGCAAAGATGTGTCAGATGTGAAATTACAAGACTATATCTGGAACACACTCAACTCAGGATGGCTTGTCCCAGGCTATGGCGATGCGGTACTAAGACCAATCCAAGGTATTCCTGTCAACCAGAGTTTGCTGTGAAACACCTGCCTAATGACCCCATGTTTAAGTTGGTCACTCAACTATATAAGATTGTGGCCAATATTCTCCTAGAACAAGGCAAGGCCAAGAATCCTTGGCCCACAGATACTCACAGTGGGGTACTGTTCCAATACTATGGGATGACAGAGATGAATTATTACACAGTCCTATTTGGAGTGACATGGGCACTGCATGTGCTAGCACAGCTTATCTGGAGCCAAGCCTTAGATTTTCTTCTAGAAAGACCTAAATCTATGAGCATGGATGGTTTGATGAAGTTTCTAGACTCTAAATCAGGATAAAATTGGAGACTAGAGGGAAACTGACTACCAGAAGATAAGGAAGCTTAACAGCAAAAAAGTAGTACAGCTTTGTTTCAGAGGGCCTTTGAAGACTTAAGATTAAAGATTAAATTGTATCTGAGGCACTGAAAATACATTTGAAATTAAAATATAAATGAAGACTTTAAAAGAGAAAGTGGTTGTTCTTCCTGGCCAGCTCCCTCCCCCTGCCTGTTAGGAGTCCCCCGCTGGCCATGGGATGAGCAGGACTAATGCATGTGATGTGGCTTAGGTTTGGCCCCACCGTCTCCAGACTGCGAATCTGGCCCCTCTTTCTCTGGGTCAGAGAAGGTTACAGATAATCTGGCGTCGCTCTGGAGCTTTTGCATGTACTTTGCCCAGCCCTCTAGGCCAGGAAACCAAGACCTTGCCCCTCCTGTCTCCACAGAGATCATTTTGGATCATCAGCTGTACCAAGCACTCTCTCATGCACAGAGATACCTCCTAGCAGGACCTACTGGGAGCTGAACATGGTATGGCAGGGTTTTTTATACTACTGAGTAACCATGAAGGCATGGCTTTTGTTTTGACTGGCACCTAGGGTTGCATTTGATTTTCCTTTTTAAAAATGTCCCAGTAAAGTCTGAAAGCGCTCTGTTTCCATTACTCTGATACCTCCTTCCAGATGGGATACCTGCTTTGCTTAAGCCGAGGATACTCTGGCCCTATCCCCTTAGTCCCTACTAAAGATCTGTTTAAATAGGGCTGTGTGATCCGTGCTCTTTCCCAGTCACTGGGATTCACAGCACTTAATGTGAACGAAGCTTTTTACCTCTGCAGCACTCAAGCCACTAGCACCTGACTTCTCTCCTGTTAACATGCTATGGGCATAGAACAGGGGCTCAGGCATGACCAGCCCCTCCATGGTCTGGTCCCAAGGGCATGACCATTTCCTTCTGAGCAGAGATGTGATACAGGTTTATATATGGTCTTGGAATATCAGGTCCATGGGCTGAGCACATTCAATGGAGGAAGCCCCTTCTTATCTCCTGCCACAGAAAATGCTCTCTTACTTATCGATGTCTTTTTCCTGCCCCTCCCCAGGAGTTCACTGTACAGTGTGTGTTTTAGGAGCCTCTTTACACAGGTTTTCAGTGACTCAGAATGCTCTACTGCTTTTTCTTTGAGACAGGATTGAGGTATACCTCTGCTGTGACCCCTTCTTCCCTTGATGCTCCTGCCTGTGTTTGTGTGGATCCCCAAACCCTAGAACCACGCTGTTGAGATGAACACACTGTAAACCCCTGGGTAACTGTCAAGTCATTATGCAGACTTCAGCTTGTTCTGTATAAAATTTTTTTAAAATGCTTTTCTTTTTCAAAGAATATAAAGTGTATGTGCAGTATGTGTATGTCTTTGGCATGCTCTGAAGAAATTCATTATAAACATTCAGGTTTTTATTACTTTAAAAAGTGACAGGTCAAAACCAGGTGTGGTGGCACATGGCTCTGTAATCCTAGCACTTGAGAGGCTGAGCAAGGACGGCCTGGGCTACACAGTGAGACTGTCTCGGCTCACTTCCCCAACTGACAGGTCAAACGTTACACACAGGTGCATGCGTGTACACACACACACACACACACACACACACACACACACAAGGAGTTGTCCTTTGATAGCTGGAGCATAGGTCCCAGGACTTGTTAGGACACCAAAGTCTGCACATGAGCAAGTCCCTTATGTAAAGTGGTGTGGTGTTTGCATACAATCTTTACCACTTACAAAATATACTTTAAATCATCTCTATATTACTTACGACACCTAACAAGTTAAATGCTGTGGAATTTACCACAAATGTTGTTATGCTATATTGTGTATGACAAGAGGAAAAGCCTGCATGTGACCAGTGCAGATGCAATTTTTTTCTGAGTATTTTTGATCCATTGTTGGTTGAATCCGTGGATGCAAAATTCATGTGTATGAAAAGCCAGCTTACTGTACAATCAGGAAAAGTTGACTTTTGGAGAGACTTAAATTAAAAAAAAAACAAACACATTTCCCAGAACCTAAAAATTTGGTTAACTATCTTATGATTTCATTTGTCTGTTGTTTGGCTGCTTTGACATCATTCAAGCACTTTTTTGGGGTGGCTACTGGGGATTGAACTGAAAGCCTCCCACATGCTAGGTAAGCACTATAACCCTGAGCTAGACTCCCAGCACCCCGTTTCTTTTGTAATTCTGAGACAGGGCCCAATTCAGTTGCCCAAGCTGGCCTCGAAAATGCCACCCTTCTGCCTCAGCCTCCTGAGTGCTGGAGTTATAGGCATATACCACCATGCCCAGCACCACATTGACTTTTAAAAAATTAAACATGGGGCCGGGGATTTAGCTCAGTGGTTTCACCACCTGCTGCGCAAGTGGAAGGTCCCGAGTTTGATCCCCGGTACAAAAAAAAAAAAAAATTAAATGTGTTGCTGAGTGCGGTGGCACATGCCTGTACTCCGAGCATTCTAGGAGGCTGAGGGAGAATAGCAAGTTTGAGCCCAGCCTGAGAAATTTAGCAATTTAGCAAGACCCTGTCTCCAAATTAAAAGTGGGGCTGGGGATGTAGCTCAGTCCAAAGGCCTCACTTTCCAATAACACACACACACAAACAATGTTTTAATATAGATAAAATACTTAAAAGCACTCTATGTTTATGACTCTGGAAATTGCATCTGTATGCAAGCTCTCTATCATGAGCTACATCCACAGCCCCAATTTTATTATATTTCTATAACAGCACAAGTGTCTTCAAGGCAGTGTAAGAAACACCATACCTTTCCATAATACGTACTTCATGCTACTCTATGGAGGATGGGGCAGATAACTATAACCATATTGCAGGAAGCTGTATTTATACCGACCAAGATTCATCCTAGTTAATTATACTTTCTGACAAGCATCACTGGGTGTGGTGGCATATGCCTGTAATCTCAACATTCAGAAGGCTGAGGCAGGAGGATCATTATGAGTGAAACCAAAGAAGTACTGCTCATTCTGCAGGAGTGATATCTACATTAAGGTCACATAAGAACCTGAAGTACTGAAAATATGTAGGAGTTCATTGGAATAATTTCTAGAATTTAAAAAACTCAGAGAAAGTGATAGTATATCAAAATCCCCCCCCCCCCCCGCCCAGACAGGGTTTCACTATGTAGTCCAGCCCTTGAATTCACAAGTTAGGCCAAGTTGACTTTGAACTTAAGATCCTCTTGCCTCAGTATCCCGAGTGCTGGGACAAAATCTCTGTGAGTTTTAAATTTGAGGAGGAGTATGTGAAAGTTTCTTTTTCTATTCTGCCCAATTCTATGGAAGTTTTAAAAAATTGCGCAATGAAATGTGTTTTAAAATACCTAAGGCTGGTGTGGTGGTGCACACCTGTAATCCCAGCAGCTGGGAGGCTGAGGCGTAGGGTTGCTATGAATTTGAGGCCAGCCTGGGCTACATAGTGAGTAAGGTCAGTCAGCATGAGCTACACAGCCAGACTATCCCAAAAAGTCAAAACCACAAAACAAAAACAAAACCCTTAAATTCTAGTAATTGCTTTAGCAGTTTGTTTTCCGTGCGTGTAGACATGAATTTGATGACAGTGGTGCCACACTGGGGCCTGTCTGCTAAACCGATTGCTTCTCTAGCTCAGTAGTCCTCAAACTTGAGTCTGCACCAGAGGCCCTTTGGAAGGCGAATTAAAACCCGGGTTGGTTTCTGAGTCAGTGGGTCTGCACGGGGTGTGTGTGTGTGTGTGAATTTGCATTCCCAACACGTTCCCAGTTGATGCTGTTGTCCAGAAACTCCCATAAGAATTACTGCCCCAGCTTAACCTCCCTTCCAAAAATGATCTGGGGTCATTTTTTCTGCAACCAATTTCATTTTTTTACTGTTTTATGTCTATTATGACCTTTACTTGTTCACACTGACCAATTCTTTTCCTTTCTTTCTTCCTTCCTTCCTTCCATACTGGGGATTGAACTCAGGGCATTTGCACTGAGCTACATTGCCATCCCTTTTTATTTTTTATTTTTTTCCCATTAAGTTTATTGGTCCATTTTAGGTATAAAATACAGTCACATTCATCATTGGGATCTTGTACCTTTACATGAGTCTCTTGGTTCTTATTTTTTCCCCCTTCCCCTGCCCTCCCTTCACCCCCTCCACACTTCCCTATTTGCAACGAATTTGTTTCCATTTTTTTCCTTTTCTCATATTTTTTCTTTTCCCTTCTTTCCTTTCCCCTACCCCTCCCACTTCCCCTGCTCCTTTAGACCTT